TTTCCAGGGGAAAAAGTATAAGGTGTCGTTTGGTTCGCTGGAATGTTTCTGAGGGAATTGAAATCTGTGAAGGAATTGGAATCTGTCAGGAATTGAAATCTGAATCTGAAACTTGTTTCGTTGGCAGGAAATTGAATTGGAATCCAATTCCATATTCTGTTTGGTTCGCAGACATATCAGATGAATTTGATTTTAGTAATGTAAAATGACAGAATTACCCTTCTTGTTTTTTTGCTTAATTTTAGTTTGTGTTATAACTTACATGTAGCAATATATTATAAAAATTTAAAAAATATTAAAATTTCATTTTATTGATTGATTATTCATTTCAATAAATTATAAAAAGCATGCTAATAAACATTATCCGTTAAAATCATCCCAATCAAAATATGTTAATAAGTTACCAAAAGATAGAGCAATATTTCGATACATCCCAATCGAATTATGTCAATTAGTTACCAAAAAATATACCAAAAACTTACAAGTCAAGGAAGGGTTAGCACTCTTGAACTGCCCTTTCGGTACTACGTAATTTTCATTTTTCAGTTGTCTTTAATTAAGAAGATTGTAACTTAAATTAAAAGGTAAAAATAACGATCTCAATCACTTACTCCTGATGGATTCGGAAGTGTACCCTTAAAAGAGTCGAGAAGCATGTTAGAAAAAAAAAGGCAATGAAGATAAATAAAATAAAGGAAATAAAAATAAATGAAAAAAGAAAAATAAGAAAAAGAAAAGACATAAAAATAAAATAAAGATAAAAAACTAAATAAAATAAAGAACATAAAAAATAAAAGAAATAAAAAAATGAAGAAAAATAAATAAAATAATCAAAATAAAGATAACGAGCAAAATAAGAATAAAATAAAGAAAAATACAAAAAATTGTATATGCATAATAAATAAATAAACAAGAGGAAAATACAAATGAAAATAAATACATAAATAAAACTAATATAAAAAAATAAAATAAGAAAAGAAAAAAATGAAAAGAAAAAAACAAATAAAATAAGAAAAATAAAAAGTAAATATATTGAAAATGATGAGAGTAGTATGATCAAATTTTATATTCCTTCTTCAAAAGTATTTTAATTCCCTCATGTTATGGATGGAATTTACTTTCCATCCCTTGATGGAAAGTTGAAGTCATTTAGGATTCCAATTTCCTTTGAAAACTTGAACCAACATGGGAAAGTGGTGGAATTGGATTTCAATTCCCCCTAATTCTAAGGGATTCCTGTGAACCAAACGCCACCTAAGATTCCAAATTTTCAACCATCGTCAAAGTTAAATTTTTGATGAATGGAGTGGTCATCAAATAGTCCAACGATGAGAAATAAATGTTTGATAAGAAGATTAATATAATTTGGTTTCAAGCTGATTTAACAATTAACAATGATATAAAAAGTTTTAATTGTTAACTTTGATTGAAATTTGATTAAAATTTTAGGAGATTGAAAAGTTTTCTGACGAGTTTTGAACCTAAAGAAAAAAAGTGAAAACAAATAAGAAAAAGGGAATAGTTTGGTGATCTTTTGACAGAATAGACCATCGAATGATAACATAAATGATGACAACAGGAGGCGGTGAACCATTAGAAACTAAACTCTAATTTTTTTTTTGATTCGTTATTATTATTCGAAACAACTTAAAATCGAATTATGTTAATCTTTTGGTCAAATAGAATCTTCTCACCATTGGAATCAATCAGTGACCATTTTGTTTATAAAAAAAAATTGACATTGACAATAGTTGTTACGTGCCACAACAATATTTCTTATCGGCAGTAACAATGATGACCGTAATGAAAGTACATTAAAAGTTTAATATTTGTAATGCAAATTTTAGAAGTTTGATGATCAAAGTAAAAGAATTATGAAACTTGAGTGACTACCATTGTAGTTTAGCCCCTTTTAATAATAAATTAAACAACCCTTGACTATAAGAAATGGATAAAGAAAAAGATTTTGATGAGCGCACTGCACTCCATCTGTATCTCAGAACCCCAAAAGATACTGCATTAACCGACCATTGCCGATTAAGGGCACAATGGAATTGGAATTGAATGCGTTTAAGACTTCACTAATTCTGCTGATTGTTTATTTGTTTATTGTTCTCTGGTTCTTAACTTTGTGTTATTAAAATAATCATATATGCGTGTTCATTTTGGTGAATAAAATAAGTTTTTCGAGAGAATAAAGATTAACACACTTGCATTTTTAATTCAGTAATAAATACAAGTTATTTTTGGTAAACCGTGGAGCAAGAAGCGTGTATTAATAGTAACCTTAGAAGAGTAATCAGAATTCATCTGAAATAGGATACAGCCCGTGAGGTCCCATTCTCACAAAATGCGAAGAAGTATCCAAGATTTGGTCCTTTGGATACTGACTAGCAGCCAAACCAGATAGCAATAACCAAGCTAGCAGGTCCCATTTGCACGACTTGAGTCTCCCCCAACTTGTGTTCATTTATTCTATAGTCTACGCTTTTCTGGGACAAACCAACCTTATTTGAATACCCAAACCAGGGAGGACTTTTACTTTTGAGAGGTCAATAAATGGTTTATGGATATATAACTTACAGTGGCAGAGCAAGTGGACTGGTCGGTGGGTACAAATTGGCGGTATGGTGCACAAAAGTTTTCCAGTTTTGATAAATCTTGCGTCACGTCGACCGCTTTTTCCATGGTCTTGAAGCGTTTCTCATAAACCGTTACCAAAATCAAATCCAGTAAAGAACAATCGAGAGCGCAGAATGATGAAACCTTCAAAATGGCACCTCCATTGACGGAAAAAGTTGCTTGTTTTTTATGCAATTTGATTTAATTAGAGAATCTGAAACAGGAACCGTTGTTTCCTTTTCTTTCAGATGTATGGATGCTTTTTACTCTAATGTTCATCTTTTATCGACTTTGGTCCTTCTAGGATGTTTCCAAATTGAAACGTCTATTCCCCATCTTTATAAAAGTAAGTAAACTACTGGGAAATCTACACAGTGCTTCATCCAGTTATAAATTGTTTCTCATTTTTATCACACAAATTCATTAACTTACAAAATAACCCTACAGTTATATTATATTTTCATTTTGATCACTCAAGTAACATTTGGTAGTAACACATCTCATCATGTGATTGATTTAATAGTTTAATGACATCAAAGATAATATTCAAACTCAAGTCTTTGACAAAGCATCCTAGGCCTAACCATCGTGTCAATTTGAACAATTTGCTTATTTATTGATCAAATTTATATTTTAAATTGAATATGGAATCGAAAAGTTTTAAATTAAATAAGAGTTTAAATATTTAAAACATTAATAAATTATGAAAATAATAAGTAAAAAAATCAACTGAATAAAAAAAATAAAAATGTATAGTATAATTTGAAAAATAAATTGCTTAAATGTATTGTATATCTTACAATTTTACAATTTTTTAATAAAGTTTATGTTAGTAATAAAATGAATGTCGAGATTGTTCTGAATAATATAGAAAAAAATCTAAATAATATTTTAGAAAAGACTCAACCATACCCATAGTAGTCCCACTTTATTGTTTTATTTTTTCTTAATGTTTTTTTCTTTTACCTTTTTATTGAGTGCTAAAGAGAACTTAGAATAAATAATAGGAAAACAAGTTGAACACATGTTTATTTTAGATGAAGTGATATTGAAATAGCTCCCAAAACATGTTTTGAAGGTAAAAATTTCGACTCTCTTAAAATTTGTTATCTTTCATAAACTTTATACAATTCCAATACTAAAATGACCTTGACTGTAGAGTCATCATGGTCAAATGATTCTAGAATTGATATTAAGTGAACCCGTAGCAAATATCCCAACATCTTACATTGATGTAATAGACCTTGATGTCAACATTTTGGACCACTCAAATCAATCATCCATTTTGTAATTGAAAAATCAAATAGAACTTTTTTTTTTAATAATTGTTACTTAAAGGGTGGGAAAATATTTTTTTATTTCTAATCAGTATTGAACTCACAACTTACAAAAAATAGAATAAGTGTCGACACACTTAAAATAAATAAATAAATTTTATTTTATTACTTTTATATCCCGCTGTAATAAAACTCAGGAAGTTATTATATTGTCGGGTTTGTATTTTGTTTCTCATCTTATCTCCATGATTTTAAGGAAATGTTTTTGAATGAATTCTTTTGACATGTTTTTTCTACTATGTATCACTTGATCTCTATTATTACTCACATTTAATATTTATTTCAGGAAAATTCTACAATACATGTGATACATGCATCACAAGGCTCACATCGAAGGAAGAAGTAATAACTCTTCCAAATGATCCACTCGTCCAAGCCTTAGAAAAGAAGACCAGAACAAAAGCATACTTACAATGACTTTTTGAATGGGATCCTGATCTTATTTGGTCAACATCTCTTCTGGAGATACAACCGTATGTCTCTTATATTTCCAACGGTTCTTGAATCACATCAATCCGATATCGGAAACTCAAGATACGTTCATTTTAGTGAAGATAACGCATGCAAAAATTCCTATACGAGATTAATACGTGATTTTGTAAATATTACGAATTTTCAATATTTATATTGATTTTTTGTAATATAATTTTTTTGGATAAGTTGAATTTTATTTATCCAAGTAAAAGTCCATCAAACAACACTCATCCCAAAACAGGGAGTATAAACACCAATATACAACAAAACAAAGTTAGTCTATACTCGAAGAAGTACAAAGTCTAGAATTTACATAATCAAGTCTATTAATATTTTTGTCTTTAAGTTTGATCCGCACATGCTCCTTAATAGACTTGAGAAGATGATCGGCTGGTCTTGTTCCTCTGTTGAAGATTCTTCTGTTTCGTTCTTCCCATATGAAGTAAATAAAGGCCGTCCAAGCAATCCTCAATATGATGGAAAGCAAAGAATTTCCCTTCCATTTATGTGCAGCCCACTCAATTTGAGATTCCCAATTCCTGTGAGTATTTTTTATGCTTGAAAGCATCATAATAGAGTTCCAAAGAGAAGAAGCATAAGAACAGTAAAAAAAAGATGATTTCGGGATTCATTTATCTCATTACACAGAACACATATTATGTCAGAAGTAATGCCCATCCTAAAGAGTCTGTCACGAGTTGGAAGACGATCCAGAATAGCCATCCAAGTGATCATGCTGAATTTAGGAATATGATGAGGAAACCAAATCACTTTGTGCCAGTAAACCTTTTCTCTTGGAACTCTGATATCTTCCCAGATGTCTTTAGTAATCGAGATTCCAACAGCAATCGTTGAGGTAGTATCATTCCTGAGTTTTAAAAGTTTTCTGATGGTCCAACTATAGGAAGTGGTAGCACTTATGTCACTTATAGCATTATTTTTAAAAACATAGCAGTAAATCCAAGCTACCCATAAAGATCCCTGTCCAGCCAAAATTTTTCTGATAAGTTGAATCATACAGGCTTTATTCCAAGAGCGAATGTCCTTCAAGCCGAGTCCTCCTTCAGATTTGGGGCAACAAATTTGATCCCAGCTAATCCTAGCACCTTTGGCAGTAGTATCATTACCTTTCCAAAGGAATCTAGAGCAAAGCTGTTCAAGTCTATTGATAACTTTCTGAGGAAAGATAAATTGTCTATTCCAGAAGTTAATAACACTATGTAAAACAGTTTTAATAAGCTCTAGACGCCCAGCATAACTTAAATTTTTTCCAGACCATTGATGAAGTCTTTGTTTAATATTATCAAAGAGAGGATGACAGTCTTTTTCAGTTATTTTCCTAGTGACCAGTGGAACACCAAGATACCTTACCGGAAGAAAGCCTTGTTTGAAACCAGTGGCGGATTTAATGGAATCAAGAATTCTGCTCGAAATACCAGCAGCAAAAAATTCAGTTTTTCTAACATTTAAGTTCAGACCAGATAGAACATAGAAATGATTGAGGACACTGATAACCCCCATAATAGAATCAAGGTTTCCTTTACAAAAGATTAAGAGGTCGTCAGCGAAAGCTAAATGAGTGATACCCAATTTTTTGCACTTAGGGTGATATCCATAAATACCTCTGGCAGCAGCAAAGTTGAGAAAATTAGAAAGCATATTCATAGCAATCACAAAAACGTGTTGGTGATAGGGGATCACCTTGTCTAATACCTCTCTGTCCTTTAAAGTACCCTATGAGGCTACCATTGAAGGCTATGGAGTATCTAGCTTCTTTGAATCATGTTTCAATTCAACCTATGAAAAATATAAGGTAACCCTATGGCTTTAAGAATAGAGGAAATGAAATCCCAATTGAGGGAGTCAAAGGCTTTTTGTAGGTCAATTTTGAGAGCACATCGAGGAGCATCGAGGAGAAATATTTTTCCTTCCATAACCTTTTACCAATTCTTGAGCAAGAAGAGTGTTATCAATAATGGATCTACCTCTCACAAAAGCAGTTTGGTTGAGTGAAACAAGGTCAGGCAGCAGCTCATTCATTCTTTTAACAAGAATTTTTGAAATAGTTTTGTACACAACCGAGCAGCAAGATATAGGTCTGTAATCCTTCACTTTGCTAGGGTTTTGGATTTTAGGAATCAGGGCAATAATGGTGGAATTAAAAGCAGGAATGATAGCAGTTTCTTTAAAGAAAAATTTAACAGCATTAACAAAATCTTCCCCTACCACAGACCAAGAATGTTTAAAAAACAAAGGAGTGAACCCATCAGGTCCAGGAGCTTTATCATTCCCTTGATTAAATAAAGCCTCTTTGATCTCTTCAGAAGTAACACAGTTTTAACCAAATCAGTAGCAACCTCATTAGGAACATGGAACTGAAGTAAATTTCTCAAGAAAGAAGGATCAGGAGGAATAACCGTAGGATCAATTTTACCAAGTTGATAATTGAAGGAGTCAAGAATTTCATTTGCCATATCATCATAAGACTCTAATCTTCTCCCCTCATTGTTAATAAGAACCCTTATTGTGTCTCTTTTATGTTTAGAGGCAATGGCAGTATGAAAAAGTTTGGTACATTTGTCTCCATCCTTAACCCATTGCACTTTAGCTTTTTGTTTGAGGAACATATATTCCATGTCCTCTAAATCATTAAGATCCTTTTGGATTCTCAATTCTTCATCAAAAGAATTGTTATCATTAAGAGTAGAAATTTGAATTTGCTCCAGCTCACTCCTCTTAAGTCTAACCTTAGCAGAGATGTCATTATAATTATCCTTGTTGAGTTTTTTCAAATTAGGCTTTAGGCGTTTAAGCTTAATAAACAATCTTTGCATAGGGTTTCCTTGGGTAAGTTGTTGCCAAGATTTAGTGATTTGTTCAAGAAAGTTAGGATGTTTAGTCCAGAAGTTGAAGAATTTAAAAGGCTTAGGCCTAGTGGTTTGAGTTTCTTTATTGATCCAAGCCAGAGCCATACAGTGGTCCGAAGGGCCAGGAGCAATAAATTCAACAAAAGAATTTTTAAAAGAAGAAGCCCAGGGAGGATTAATCATCACTCTATCAAGGTTGGGTTAAAATATTATTTTTAATTATTATTATTTTATTAGGGATTAGAGTTAAGACATGTTTAGTTTATTATTATTTTATTAATTAGTTATTTAGGACCTTTAGAACTCAGCCCCTATATAAAGGAGGCTTCATTCAACTTTGTAAACAGATTTCTTTGATTAATAATACAACGAGAGTTCGTTTTTGCAAGTGTTGATTGCCTTGTGCCTTCGAAGCTTCTTCTCCGAGAGTTGTTTCAAGTTCTTGTGATGGAGATTAATCTTGACACTCCAATTTGCCTTTTCATCACGACTAGGAGGGTTGGTTAGAGCCATATTATCGTGTTTGCCTTTTCATTGCGATTAGGAGGGCTTGATAGGACATTATCCATCGATTTTCCACATATCCATCCACACCATCAATCATCTTTACCGTTCACCTTCATAAGGGAGATCTTTTGATTTCTTGATTATCTTACTTTATTTTCAATTTCTTTATCTTTTGTTTATCTTGTTTTAATCTTGTTTCTTACCTTGTTTCCAGCACCTAAAAGAAACCCTTAGAACCCTACTTGCTGTCGCCACCTTCCCCTATTCATATCCCATTGTTCTTCATCGAGTCTAGAGCTTTCTAGGTTTGATTCTTCAACAAGAGCAACGTTCTTTAACCCGCCACCGCTTCCCTATCAATTGGTATCAGATTTGGGCCGATTCTTGGAAAGAAGGAAGCAATCTTGCTTGTTCTTGCACAAAAAACCGTCAAGGTACCCCAACGGAGTTAGTTCACAAAAAGATTCATCGTTTCAGGTTCCTTTTATTTAATTTTAATTTAGATTCAAATTCTTCTTGTTAGTTTGCTTTTTTTTATAAAAAAATTAAAAAAAATAAAAAAAAGCCAATTTTTTTTTAAAAATAAAACGAAGGAATTTAGGGCTGATTTTATCCAGATATCATATTCATCCTAATATTAATCTCCAGTCCAAAATTCAACCCAATCAGAGAGTTCATTAGAGTCTTCAAATACATCATTCAAGTTTTATCGGCAGATTCGGTTTAGAATCTTGTCGAATTTATTGAAAATTTTAAAGGAGGAATTTCGTGGTGAAAATTTTCATATTCAAAATTCATATATTTAAGATCATTCACACAACAAATCAGAATTGTTGGAGATCAATAACACCTTCGAACAAAGCAATCAAGAAAAACAGATTGTTTGAGGACTCACCGTTCAACATAGTCTACTAGATACTACTGAAGATATTTGGTTCTGAAATTTTACAGGTGGTTTCTTGACATATCGAAAGACATTCAAGAAGTTTTTCCAAAATTTTTGGACACCGGTAACCTCTCAAAAACGTTGCTCATGTTGATCCAGCGTTTCTAGGTTTCTGGGTTGGTTCATTTTTTCTTTGACTCTTAGTGCTTTAGGTTATTTTATTTTTCCCTTTTATTGTTCTTTTTCATTATCTAACACATTATCTTCCTTGTGTTAGTAGGACTAAAGAGTTTGCATACTTCATCATTCTTTGCATTCTTGTTCTCTTGGAGTCTAACCTTTGTTTGACCTCTTAGAGCTCTTAAGTTTTTCTTATCGCCTTTGCTAGTAATCAAACTCCGATACGAACTGTGGAAGACTACTTGGTAAAGTGAGTTTTAAAGAGTACAAGATCGGCTTACTTGCCTCTCGTTGTGTTACTTTCTTGGAGTGACTTGTGAGGCTTCTTGTTTTGTTGAATTTTTTTTCTTTTATTTTTATTTTACTTTAAAATTTTCTTTTGAGTATTATGATTTCAAGATGGGCGACAATAACAACAAGACACTTACGGCTACCTTAGCTGCACTTTCCCGACTCATTACTCAAGTTGAAAGATTTGATGAAACCGTGAGAGAACGAAAAGAACAACTGGATCTACCAAACCAGAATCCAAGACCAAACAATGCTGAACTTTTGGTACCCAGGCGAGAACAACCACGTTTCCAAGCACCCGAACTCTTTGCAAAACCAAATTTCACGATCCCTTCTTTCAAAGGAGAAACAAGGAAAAATATCGAGAACTTACAAATTCAAGCAATCACTTCTTAGACCGACCTCAAACAAACCATGAGGAAGCAATTCCTACCAACACATTATACACGAGAAGTTAAACTACGACTACACCGACTTCGACAAGGTAGAAGTTCAGTTGAAGACTACTATAAGGAGATGCAGTCCTTACTCAATAGGGCTAACATAACCAAAAAAGAAGAGGTCACCGTGTCAAGATTCGTCATCGGCTTAAACTCGAACATCATTGATCTTCTTGATCTCCATGGGTACGAAAACCTTGAAGATACACTAAAGAAAGCAATGACAACAGAAGCACAAATCCAAAGGAGATTCCAATTCAGAGAACATTACTAAGGAACTTAATTCTATTACCAAGGTAATCCTTCAAATCCTTCCTCATCTTCTACTTCATATTCTCTGAAAAAGCCAAGATATGATAAACCTGACAAGGAGAAAGAACGACCAACAAAGAATGACACACTTACAGCCCTAAAGATCAAATGATAATTTGTGAGAATGTAGGGAAAGAAAAAAAGAAAAAGCTGAGAAAGAGGCAAAAACAAAAGTGGTCACTAGTTACAAAAGCCAAAAGAATAATGACACACGGGAGGTGAGTGAACCTAATTGTGAGAAGAAAAGAGTGACTCAAAATCTATGTGTGAGCACAAAAGAATTGAGAGAGAACCTTCTTTACAAACAACCTTCCATCATTGTTCACTTTAGGGAATCAATTGTTTCGATTTCTAACCTTAACAAGGATTTGCCTAGTGTGTTTTTATCTTTGTTATAGGATTTTCGAGAAGTATTAGGTGATCCACCTAATTAATTACCACCGAAAAGAGGAAAATAACACCAAACCAATATAATTCAAGGTTTCATCATACCTCGTCAAACATACAATATCAAAGAAACCAAAGAGTTAGATTTATTACGAAAAGGCTACATTTAGGAAAGCCTTAGTCGTGACGCCATCTTAATTACGAAACATGATTTGAACAACTCCACAGGCTTTATAGTTCGTGCACAGGGAATCCATGTAAATGATGAAAAAGTAAAAGCAACACGAGACTGGTCTATACCATCTTCCATCGCCAAGAGTTGTCGAATAGTGTTAGGTGACCCTCCTGATGGGTTAGCACCTAAAAACCCTAATCACTATGCCATATCAATAAAGAGTCACAATTTACGGGAGTCCAAAGGTAAGTATTTTATTACTCATTTTAATGACATTGTAATGTACTTATTCTCCTTTTACAAGGTAAGGCTCGTGAAGTTGTCATCCATACTAAACACAACTCCTTTAAGTGCGTAACAGACCGAGGTAAGCAAAACACAGTAGACGATACACTACCACGAAGGTATACACTTACCTATCAAACGCATGCTACTATTCCGAGAATTGAACATATCAAAGATGTTGTCGTAACTGGTTTTCTTCCGGGCACGAATATTTCTTGACGGAAAAGCTATGTGAATGAATAAATGGTTTTTATTGAAATGTTTTGGAGTTGCCATCCAACCTTTTGGGTTAGGTAGGTCGAATACCTAAAAATCATCTTTAAAAAGTATTTTTAAGAAAACACTATTTAAAAGATAAACCGGTCTGCATATAACAAAAAATTCATTCTTTTTATTAATAAAAAGGGATTCGTGGTCGGTTATGTTTGGGGAAGGATTATCACCCCCACAACGCCCAAAATTGGTACACGTTGATTATAAATTGTCTCTATTAGTGGAAGTCTAAGAGTTCAAATATAAATTTAATTTACGATCATATTATTTCAGATTCAATCAAATAATTCTAAGAAAAAATATATTAAAATATTAAAGAATATATATATATATATACTTAGGTTTTATAAATAGGGTATTTATTTATTTAAAATTATCAGAAAATGACATCTAGTTACTTTAAGACATCCTATTTCTTTGATATAAAAAAATAAATATTAATAATTTAAATAAAAATGAAGTGAATATATATATATATATATATATATATATATATATATATATTATAAGCATGATATTTATTTATTTTTAAAATACTAGAATAGGACATCTAGTTATTTTAAGACAGTTATTTTCTTAATATTTAAAAATAAATATTATTATTTAATTAATTTGTTAAATTAATAAAATAATATTTACAAATCTTTTATACATATATATATTAATATGAATAACGATAAAATAAAGAATAATAAAATAAAATAAAATTATAATTAAACAATGACCAAAATAAAAGAAATTAAAAATATAAAATTAAAATGTAAAAATAATAAAACTTATAGTCAAAATAAAAATTATATAAAAATCAATGATTAAATCAAAATGTATTAAAATTAAAGGAAATAATTCGAAATATCATAAAATATAAATACTAACAGTATAATTTAACCTTAATTATTAACTGGTGATTAAATTATTAAAATTAAAATGACTAAATAAGCTATTTTACCTTAAATATTATATAAACGGGTAGGGATTAAAATATAATAAAATAAAACTTGTATATAAAATTAAAAATGCACAGAAATTGATTTTAGTGACTAAATTAAAAAGATTACAAATCCAAGGGATCACGGAAATGATTTGCGCATTTACGAAATTACGTAGAAGTTCCTCCCCAAAACGACGTAGTTTTGAGGAGGGTATAAATAGGATTAAAATCCTCAATTCTTCTCATTTCTTCATTTCGCTTCTCTCTCCTCACTTCTCTCTAAATTCCCTCACCAGAGGAAGCTCCGGTCACCGACCGACAACCGGCCAGCCACCACCGGTCACTATTCTGACCACCGCTGGTCACTATTCACGGTGGCTGAAAAATACCAAAACACACCAAATCGAAGATCTCGAAGCCTTAAAGCCTAATCCAGCCTTAGTTTTTCCTAAACACCTCTAAAATTTCCTAGATCTAGGATTTTTTTACCTTCGATGTTTCGGTTTCCGACAACCT